GATAACAGTCGAATTAGTTCATTATCATTACCTTGGTGATTAATTTTATCTTGTTTTATCGATGAAATTAACCTTATTTTTATATGTAATTAAAATAGTGTTTATATATTGTTGGTGTTTTAGCACAAATATTTAGATGTACAGGATGACTAGATGAAAACGTACTTTAGAATTGTTAAAATTTATGTTGTGTGTATTAATTGATGAAACAGCTGAGAATATTGAAGATGGCATCAACCTGACTTCTCCTATCTAAATCCTCTGCAAAAAAATATATGTGCTTCACACTAGATCATTTGATTATACTATCAAGCTTCAAAGTGTTTTGAGGTGTTTCAAATTTTCTACATAGTTTTTTAGATTTTTTTTAATATGTTTATCGATTTAATTATCAATATTACTAAAATTTAGAAAGGAATGTTCTTTAAGACATTTGAAGTTTTCTGCATACTTTTTAAGAACGTTTTAACATTAAAAAAATTGTATTTCTATAGAATATTTGGATTATAATTTAAATTAACACGTTTAATATAACAACTAATTGGAACCCTAGTAAGTTTGCATTTTCCAAATAATATCGTCAGTATTTTGAGGCATTTAAAATTGTCTGCATACTTTTTAGATTTTTTAGTATCTTTCTCGATTTCATTTGATCAATGTTACTCAAATATGCACAGACATGTGCTGCACACAAGATTATTTGATTACAATATCAAGGTTCAACGTATTTTAAGTATATTGTAATTTTCTATTTACATTTTTAGATTAAAAAAAATTGTATTTTATTAGAATATTTGGATTATAATTTAAATTAACACGTTTAATATAACAACTAATTGGAACTCTAGTAAGTTTGCAGTTTTCCAAATAATATCGTCAGTATTTTGAGGTATTTAAAATTTTCAACATACTTTTTTAGATTTTTTAGATTAAAAAAAAATTGTATTATATTAGAATATTTGGATTATAATTTAAATTAACACGTTTAAGAAAATAACTAATTGGAACTCTAGTGAAGTTTGTAGATATAGAAGCATCTGCCAAAATATATGTGCTGCACACAAGATTATTTGATTACAATATCAAGGCTCAAAGTATTTTGAGGAGATTGTAATTTTCTACATACTTTTTTAGATTAAAAAAAATTTGCATTTTATTAGAATATTTGGATTATAATTTAAATTAACACGTTTAATATAACAACTAATTGGAACTTTAGTAAGTTTGCAGTTTTCCAAATAATATCGTCAGTATTTTGAGGTTATTTAAAATTTTCTACATACTTTTTTAGATTTTTTAGATTAAAAAAAAATTGTATTTTATAGAGTATTTGGATTATAATTTAAATTAACACGTTTAATATAACAACTAATTGGAACTCTAGTAAGTTTGCAGTTTTCTAAATAATATCATCAGTATTTTGAGGTATTTAAAATTTTCTACATACTTTTTTAGATTTTTTAGATTAAAAAAAATTGTATTTTAATAGAATATTTGGATTATAATTTAAATTAACAATACAACAACTAATTGAAACTCTAGTAAGTTTGGAGTTTTCCAAATAATATCGTCAGTATTTTGAGGTATTTAAAATTTTCTACATACTTTTTTAGATTTTTTTTAGTATCTTTTTCGATTTCTTTTGATCAATATACCTAAAATGTGGACGTCTATTTTCTAAGATTCGGAAAGTAAAAGAAGAAGATCAGAGAGTCCCTTATAGTTGTTTTAGAAAATATTGTAACTATATTAATTCTTCTAAAGAAAATTGCAAACACTTCAAGATCTAAATCAAAGCAAATCTGACGCTTTCTTATAAAATATTACTGTTGCAACAAAATTTCTACTTCCATGGAAGAAATTAGATCCCAGCGTTCATTGACGTCGCGTTTATTCACCCCCTTCCCCCCATTCAGACAACCGTGTAGCACTTTTACTGAGATTTATTTTATTATTAGTCGACCATTAGGTGAAAGTAATGCGTTTAAGTTCAATGAAAGCTTGCATGTCTTATGTTTCTAACTTCCTTTCGAGGAGAAAGTCACTGCTATTTCGTAACACAATCGAAATCGTTTCGTTGTGTGTTGTCGGTCGGCTATTTTTTTTGTGTGTAGGAAAAGAGAGATGCTTTTTTTTCGCGAACAATCAGGCGACGATAACCTGCATTTGTAGAGGTCTTTGTCATACTTTCCCTGATAGAATATTATTCTATCAGGGAAAGATTAAATCTACGATCTTCGAGAGGCGGATAATTAGAATGATCTCTAAACCGTGAAATATTTATTCGAATTTGAAAAATAACGTCAATCTGAAAGGTTTCTAAGAGATGAAGTTAGTATTAACTAATTTTCGTTTTTAAACATTTTTCATTCTAGAATTTTGTAAAAACAGCCCACATAAGACTTCATGTAATTGTTAATCTTTTTGAAATAATTGTAACCATTACAAAAAAAGGAAAAACATCGTTTGGTTGTCTATATTTATTAAGTTTTTATTTATAAAGTCTATATTTACATTAACTAAGGGCTTAAAGTCAGCAAGTCCGATAACATCGTCAAAATAATCATGAATGTCGTATAAGAAGAAAATAAAAATTTAAATTTAATTCTCAAACAATTTTGAAACTATTGAATTCGTGTGGTTGGAGAAAAAACATGTTCAATGTGTGAATATTTGTAAGCGTAAGAGAAAATGATTTAATCATTAGAAATTAAAGAAATTCTATATTAAATGCAATTGACAAATATTTTAAAACCACTTTAATTGACGTAGGTAATGGTAACGATTATTTAACAGTTGATTTTCATGTTTTTCTTTTTATAAAAGCAAATTATGCAAATTCATTTTTTAGAACTACAAGAGTTAAATACATGACCTTTATTTAAATTTGTAAATATATATAAAAAAAATTATGAATTTAATAGTTGGTGATAATTTTATTTTTGAAATCATTTGTTAAATTGTTATTTTTAAATTTTTTTTTATATTACTGGCACGTTTAAAAAATACAGAGATATTACAAATTCCTGTCTTTTCACTTTTCAGATAATCAATGATTTTCCCGGATGTTGCAGAATTTTAAAATAGCAAAGTTAAAATAAGAAAATTATTATAAAATAAAATATGAACCAATTTCATAATAATAATCATTTATTTACTTTATAAATTTTCAATCATAAAGAAATGATACTCTATTTTAATAAATCAATAAAATTAATTGTACAAAGAAAGATTGTTCTTAAGACTGTTGAAGAATTCTACATACTTTTTTAAATCGTTTTTACAGTAAAAACTCATACAGAAGTTTTCGAAAATATTTTATGAGTCCATCTTTCAATATAGTTTGATTAATATTACTTAATTGCACAAAGGAAAGCTGTTTTTGAGATGGTTAAAATTTTCTACATACTTTTTAGATTTTTATGTTTTTTGATTTGATTAGTACTACAAGGAATGTATTTTAGACATTTAAAACATATTTTGTTAGACCATCTGTCAATATAGTTTGATCAACATTACTGAATTGTACAAAGAAACGTTGTTTTTGAGATGTTCAAAATTTTCTACATACTTTTTTAGATTTTTTTTTTTGTTTTTTGATTTAATTTGATTAATATTACAAGAAATGTATTTTAGACATTTAAAAAGTATTTTGTTATACCATCTGTCAATATAGTTTGATCAATATTACTGAATTGCACAAAGAAACGTTGTTTTTGAGATGTTCAAAATTTTCTACATACTTTTTTAGATTTTTTTTTATGTTTTTCGATTTAATTTGATTAATATTACTTAAAATGTATAAAGAAATGTATTTTAGACATTTAAAAAATATTTTGTTAGACCATCTGTCAATATAATTTGATCAACATTACTGAATTGCACAAAGAAACGTTCTTGAGATGTTCAAAATTTTCTACATACTTTTTAGATTTTTTATTTAGTATGTTTTTCTATTTAATTTAATTCATTTCAATAGTCTTTTATAAGTATGATCGTATTTCACAATTAGCAAAAATATATGCCAACTATATTTCGCACAGTTTCAAAATTATTTCCTAAGCCGCATCTATTGCATTATGAAACAATAAACCAATCGATACATATTTCGAAATGCATACTATCTCAAAAATACACGAATTGTGACACCGACTTATCAATCGATCACTCTACTAATTAACGAATTAAACGAATTAAACAAATCAACAAACCCCCCTCCTTAAACGAACGCGCACAGAAATAGCGGGAAAGGAAAAAACCTCCATGACCCAGTATTTTAGTTGAGGTCATTCACCTCTACCATGATGAACTTTCTCGATTGCTCTGCGCGAGTAAAATCCGCGCTCAGGTCGTTCAACTCGAGAGACCTGGATGACCTATTTACTGCGAATTATGGGAATTTACCGACGTTCTAGATGTCCCGGTCCTGCATTAGATGCACCACCGAAACAATAATGTTAGTGAAATACAACGAAAACACCCAAAAAACGTTTTTTCTATACAAGAAAGTGAATTAATATGATAATAGTACGGTTATCAAGAGGTCTATGTACTGTTTCAGTCGATTTTTTTAAAGGAAATTGAGAAAACATTAGTTTGAAAGGTTTCTACATGCTTTTTTCAATGTAATTTGATCAATATTTCTTAATTGTGTAAAGGAAGGTCGTTTTTGAGACGTGTGAATACATTGTTAGCACGTTTGTAAAATAATTCGATAAATATTGCTTAATCGCACAAAGGAAGGTCATTTTTGAGACGTTTGAAGTGTTCTACATACTTTTTTTAGAATGTTTTTACCAAGTTTTTCGATTTAATTTGATCAATATTGCTCAATTACACAGAGTAATGTTCTTATTAAGCCATTTGAAGTTGTCTACATATCTATTTGGACTGTTTTCACATTAAAGAATTGTTTGTAAATTTTCTACATACTTTTTTAGTTCTGTTACTGTTATTTGGGCATTTTCGTTGGTTTTAAAATTGATAAAATCAATACATACCATCTCTGCTCATCCCAACGGCAATGCACTTTTTGAGCCTGCAGTACTGGCAGCGGTTCCTGTTGATCCTTAGGATGGAGCATTGTTGGTTTTTGGTGCACGGCCTGTACTGGATCTTCTGCTGGATGCTGCGCCTGAAGAACCCCTGAGAAGAACACTCTTTTTTAATACAATCATCACTATCGCATTCCGAACTAGTATTATCGTCGTGAACGCCGTTGGTAACCCTTTGCGGGGCTTGTAACTCGCTACAGTTTAGCACAGCCATCATAATTATATAACTAGTTAAATTAATTGCACATACTAATTAGGAGCAATACCTAATAACAATAATAATCAATCGGTGAGTGATACTCGCGCGACCAAGCAACTAGAAATTCTATAGAACACTGAGCTCGGCAGGCAGAGTTCGACAAGAGTTAACCACCTGACCCAGTTTGAGGATGTTAACCCGCCGAAGTGTTGTAGCTTAGCGAGGCCAGTTCAATGCGTGAAAGTGAGAGTTGAGGTCTCCGTCCCACCCACGGCGAACCGCTTTAGCGCAAGCGAGACGGAGCTAATTTCGCCATTCTTATAGATGGAATATATATAATACATATATACAGTGTTTCAGAAAAAAAAATGAAAGGTGGTTTAATATTCACGAAATTTTAAATTGGAAACGAATCTTCTTTGAATCTAATTATTACAGGGTGATACTATAGGATAATTATTAAAACAGAGGTTAAAAATCTAGTAGAAAAGTTTTGTTATGATTTTTTTGTTGTTGTTATAAGTAAAATATTTATGATTGTACAGTCTAGTATACTAGGTCAAGATAGATATGTTATTTGGTTCATTCAAAACTATAGCATTTTTGTTAAATAAAACAAAACAAAAATGTTTTTTAAAACATCTAGATTATATAATAATATATAATAAAGAGAGGTTTAATTATATTGAGACATGTAAAAAATAGTTTTATGGAAATCATCTTCAGAGAATTTTGACTTATATTCAATGCACCAGGTCTTTATTTAACAGAGAATGTTTTTGAAACATCAAAATACCTACCCATTTTGTGACAAATAATTTTATGGACATCATCTTCAGAGAATTTCGACTTGTTTTTAATGCACCAGGTCTTTACTCAATAAATGTTTTTGAAAAATCAAAATACCTCTTTCATGTGAAAAAATAATTATATGAACACCATCACCAGAGAGTTTCGACTTATTTTCAATGTACCAGGTCTTCACTTAGCAGATAATGTTTCCAAAACATCAAAATAAACAATTCATGCAAAAACAAAATAATAATGGACACCATCTTCAGAGAGTTTTTACTTGTTTTCAATGCGCCAGGTTTTTACTCAACAAATAATATTTTTGAAACATCAAAATATCGCTTTCATGTAAGAAAAATAATTTTATGGGCACCATCTTCAGAGAGTTCCGACTTATTACAGAGAATTTTGATTTATTTTTAATAAACCAGCTTTTAAGAAAATTTTGTTTTTGAGACATCAAATAATTTTATTTTAAAAAATAATTTTATAGACACCATCTTCAGAGAGTATCGACTTATTTTCAATGTACCAGGTCTTTACTTAGCAGATGTTTTTAAAATATCAAAATAGAGCTTTAATGCTAAAAAAATTATGGACAACATCTTCAGAGAGTTTTGACTTATTTTCAATGCGCCAGGTTTTTACTTAACAAATAATGTTTTTGAAATATCAAAATACCGCTTTTATGTAAAAAAATATTTTATGGACACCATCTTCAGACAATTTTGACTTATTTTCAATGCACCAGGTCTTTATTTAACAAATAATGTTTTTTAAACATCAAAATACCCATTTTATGTAAGAAATAATTTTATGGACATCATCTTCAGAGAGTTTCGACTTGTTTTCAATGCACCAGGTCTTTACTCAACAAATGTTTTTGAAACATCAAAATACCTCTTTTATGTAAAAAAATAATTTTATGAACCCCATCGTCAGAGAGTTTCGACTTATTTTCAATGTACCAGGTCTTCACTTAGCAGATAATGTTTTCAAAACATCAAAATAAACAATTCATGCAAAAAAAAATATTTTATGGACACCTTCTTCAGAGAGTTTTTACTTGTTTTCAATGCGCCAGGTTTTTACTCAACAAATAATGTTTCATGAAGAAAAATAATTTTATGGACACCATCTTCAAAGAATTTCGACTTATTTTAATTGCACCAAACCTAAGAATGCGAAACAAAACTGTTTTAATTGTTGATTTTCAACAACAACCAACTCTAATTATCAAGAATTAATTGTAACAACTTGGATATACACTAAATAACCGATGAAATTGAAAATAATGAAAACAAAATGGAGTCTGGATACATTACAAAAATAAAACCTAAGCATCACAAAGTAAAATCTATTCAAAATAAAGTTTAATTATATTGAACATTAATTTAAAAATAAATTTCCACTGAAATAATAGAGTGCAATTGGGAAAAATACTTTGTGAACGTGTTGCATACATACAACATTGTAATTATATAAAAGTTGCAATGCATCGTCATGTTACCCAAAAGGTAAAAAGGGATAATCAAATAAAATATATTCATTTTAATTTTTATGACAAGCTGTATAAATTTTCTCTAGCATTTATTGTTTAAACTTACATTTATTACTCAATATCAATTGGGTTACAGTGCGAGTAATCTGAATAGGAAGTTTTTTAAGGCGAGATAATTTTTAGAATGGTTGTTGATTCTAAAAATTGAGAAAAAATTATCTTTGGACCGTTGCTATATTCTCGTTATGTAGCTTATTATAAAACTGGGACAATGATGTTTTTTATTTTGTTTCAAAGTCATTGTTCCAAATTGACTTATTTACTTGCATGGCCCAGTTAAATTTATCCTGTTTGTGTAACCAGTTAAGGGTAAATTAATTATGACCCCCGTTTTCCCCTATTGCCCACCGTTTGCGTGGGAATTCCCCACCCGAACTATTTTTATCAATTTTCATTAATTTTCGATAATTTGGAGGAATGAGATGAATTTTTTTAGCTTTTTGATTTCTTCTGAGAGGATAGAGAGTTTAAAAATTCTAAAAAATTAACAAATTAACATTTGTAGCAAGAAAGTAGGTTAGGGGGTTTGTAAGCCCCCTCATTCGCAATAAATAAAAATATATAGCAGCAATAATAAAAATATATTGCAACAATTCGGAGAAAGCGTTGTAAGGGTACTGTTGGTTTTTCCAAGCACCAAATGAAGGAACTTACCTTATTATACTCTTCAAATATTTCCCCTTGATTTTTATAAAAATTTCATGTTGATATTGCTTTCCGTTTTTGATTTATGATTTTTTTTATTTTCCCCTTAACCCCCATTTTCACAAATAATTGTTTTTTTTTTTTTAATTCAATTATTTTCATCATCATTTTGAACAAAAATTTATATATGGGAATATCTGAGTAATGATATCAGGGTAACATTTTTAAATGGAACACCCTATATTATATTCAATTTTTGGAATCGCCATGGAAAGGTGAATTCAATATCACACACACACGATTTGTACAGTGCGTTAAAAATTAAAAAAAAAAGTAAGGAATAACATTTGAAAAACCCTCGAAGCCTTGAATGTTATTTTTATTTTAGCATTCTTTCAAATAAAATTAATATATACAGGATGATTCGTGTAGGAGGAAAGAATGTACAAACAAATACTGACTACAAAATTAGGTACAAAATATATAAGAAAATTAAACACAATTAACATCCTAAAATTTAAACAAATTCACAGACATTGTAAATTATCATTAATATTTTGGAATTTTGAGAAAAATGTTAATTAGGTTTCTGTTCTCTCTAGAACTGTGTAAAAGATTACGAAGCCTAATCTATTTAAAATTGTTATTATAATTATTGAAATTATAATAACTTATTGTTTTCAAACAAGGCTACTTAATTTCTAGGCAAATCAAAAAATTAGTTAACAAATCATGGTAAAATTATTAAAAACATGTAAAACAATTTTTTGTTCAATACATATATGTCTGAAAACGCTTCGGTTGGGGGATACAGGGTGTTAAAGTTTAAAAAAATTGGAATTTGATCAATATGTTGAAAGATTTTTTAAAGGATTACAATGAAAATTTCACAGTTAGGAAGGCGAGACCGCGACAGGAGACAGCGTAAGGTCTCTTTACGTCTGAACGCATGTAATTAAATGAACCACATTTGGGACTGCGCGACCGATGAAAAAGACGCGACAGCACTTTTTTAACAGGGCAGTGCTGTACCATTTAGAAACAGACATCAAATATCAAATTGTTTCAGTGGTATACGAGGTTTGTCAAAAAATATGAGTTTTACTCAAGAGTAAAGTACCTTTATTCTTTATACGACTGATAAAATTTGATATTTGATGGTTGTATTTTAGGTTTTAGACCATGCTCAACTTTTTATAAAGAACAACTTTTTTTTCCTAAAATTAGTAATAAAAAAGCTTTCCTATGCCTCCAACTGTCTATGTAAATTGGCGGCATATGAAAACCACCCTTAAACTCCTCATTTTTATTCAGATTTTTTTCAAAATCAAAGGGCTTTTCCCCTTGTAAAGCTTGATTTTCCTGATATTTTCAAATTTATATAGTTTTTCGTTTTTGACTTTTAGTGACATCGGACGGACGGACGAAAGGAATCAGAGGCATAATAAATAATATTCATAGAGTGTAAAGAGTATAATAATGTATGTAGAGTAGGTACAGTGCCGACAAGAGGGGGGGAGCGGGGGCTGGAGGGAGAAAGTCCCGGGTCCCGGCAGCATATTCGGAAATCGCCGACACGTTAGGCACTCGGAAGATTTCGATGCCGCGATTGACAAACTCGTAAAATACAGACGTGTTAGAACTAATTTATCGGCGATTTATTAAATAAGAAATGTTTATTTACTAGACACATCAATCAATGGCGCATCCAGAGTTTAAGTCTCTATTTTTGATAATACATTTTAGTGATTACTTCCATTACCATAATTACCGTCCATTACCCCACCGTATTTGCGCCCTTGGCTTCAATCATCAGAAACAATTTTAGTTTCCCTTTACTATTGCCTATATGAAAGTCTCTATGTAGATTAGTTCGTTAATTTATTAAATTAAT